TCAGCGTCGCAAGCAACGGTCAGCGGCAGCCCCACCACCCCCACCTCCGCCTCACACACTCACTGGCCCCTTGCGCGATGGCACGCCGGCATGTTGGCATGGGAACGCCAAGCCCGGCACGGTAGCGGCGGCTGACTGAGTAATGGCACAGCCGACCGCCGCGGCAGGCCACTTTGCACTCCTGCCTGCAATGCATGCACCCTTACATGTGCAGCCTTCTGGTATTTTCATGTGCCTGGGAGATGTGCGGGCATGGGGGCCCATGTGCCCCATGCCATTTGAGTGCCCGGCGGCGGCGCTGCCTGCCGCCGGGAGCCCGCACCAGCATCGGCACCCGTCGGCCTGGCAGGCCTAAGCTGCTAAGGATCCCCACGTCCCCCACCACGTTGTGGGGATTGCGTGTCCGGCAGGACGGGGAGCGGGGCCAGGGTGGGGTGACCCTGGGACGCTCAGCTGGGGGGAGGGTGGTCGGAGCCATGGAGAGGGTGCTCCATGGTCCACCCCCTCTCTTGATGCCCCTTGATCACGTGTGCCCCCTGCCCAAGGTCTGCTCACGCGGCCTATCATAGCGGGGTGACTGTAACACAGGGTAGACTGTGACATGCGGTAACCACCAGGCTGGCCCTAACCCACCTGTGGAGTTGGAGCAAGTTACCGCCGCGATGTTGCAGAAGGAGGTGGTGTACAACTCACAGTCATAGAGGGAGTTGGCGTTTGATCCACAATTATTAATGTAGGCGGCGGTGATGGCACCGTCTGGCATGCCGCCGAAAATGTTGGCAGGTTGGACAGAAGCGACGTCGCCAATGAGCCCGAGCTGCTTGCATACCACAGCTGCTGCTTGTGGCCCAAAATTGGAATTGCAAACAGGCACAAATGAGCCGTGGTATAGCACCTCTATGCGGCCCTGGTTGGGAGTGCTGGTAGTTCCGTTCTTCAGGCGCACGGCATGCCAAAGGCGAGGTGTGTCTGCACAAATCCGGCAGCATAGGTGCCAGTGAGTTCTGCAAGAGTGCAGTGCAAGGCAACTGCACCAGCAGGGTCACTGGACGGTAAAGCACAGCAACAGGCGGCAGTGCCAGACCGCAAAGCCTACCTGTGGCGGTGAAGCACTCAACGCCAACCTCGTTCTCAAAGGCTGTCCATTGATCGTAGCTGCACCCTTGAATGCCTGGCTGGCTTAGGTTGCAGATCAGGCCACTCCAAAGGACGTTGACCTCAGGTGGGCGGTAGACGCTGTTCGAGTCGACAATTGACCTGGGGAATCCTAGCTCAGCACAGGCTGCTGCTCCCACAGTGTCCAAATCAGCGCTGTTTGCACTGACACCAGCTTGCTTGTGCTTGCTTGCTTTGCTTGTGTGGGCTTAAAGTCTGGTAAAGCAAGAACTAGCTTGCAACATAGACTCCCCGCCGAAACGGGACGGGAACCGGGCGAAAGCAGAGAAAGCAATAAAACAGGGGTGGAGCAAGGCGACATGCAACGCAAGCAGCTGACAGGGCACGCATCGAAACGTGTGTATGACTGGCAAAGTGGCATGGCGCATTGGGGAGAAACGCAACGGTACGGGAGCATGGGCTGGCCAAACGGCAGTGCGGAACGCTAGGTCACTAGAAAAGCAGGGAAAGGCGCACTATGTATGCAATGAGGGCAGCCCCGGCTCGGGGCCGTTGAGAAAGCAGTGGGCGGGAGGGGGGAGGCCCCGGTGTGGGCGGGCCCCATCGAGGGGGGATGGGGCGCGCAAGCGGCCAGATGGGGCGGGGCGCGGGCGGCAGTGGAGTCCTGCGGCTGGGTGGGATATAGGGCAATGAGCGTTGAGCAGTGTGCGATGAGCAATGAGCAATGAGCAGTGAGCAGCCCCTCCCTAAACAAAGTGAAGCGCAGGACGGGGTCCGGTGGATGGGAGGCAAGGAAACGCGGGGGGTTGCCACGTGCGCTACCGCCGCCGCCGCAGGCAGCACCCCTGCGGCGGCGGCAGCGGCAGCAAGCCGTGGACCCAAACGCCGTGCCGCCGTCGCCGCAGGCAGCACCCCTGCGACGGCGGCGGCAGCAAGCCGTGGACCGAAACCCCGTGCCGCCGAGTCCCGTGGCTGTGGCCGTGGGCTTCTGGCAGGAAACTACGGCCGCAGCTCGGCAGCACGGGGGCGTCGCAGCGTGCCGCCGCCGCCGCCGCGCTGCCCCCCGGGCACGGCGGCGGCGGCAGCAAGCTTGGGCCCAAACGCCGTGCCGCCGAGTCCCGTGGCTGCGACCGTAGACCGTGGGCCGGAAACTCGGCGGCACGTGGTTCTGGTCAAATCGCCAAGCGTGCAGCAGCGCCGAACCACGCTTCCCGGCCTCGGCGCATGCCTTCAGGGGCCCCCTATCGCTGGGCACACCCCTCCAACACCGAACATGCGCCCGGGGGGGAGGGCGGCCCGGGCTGCCCAGGCCAAAGTGGGCCGCCCTCGAGCAAGAGGCGGCCGGGCTGTGTGCTGAATGAATGAATGCGCAGTGTCTGCCACGACGGCATTGAAGACTCCCATATGCCCGACAGAAACACTTCAAGGCGGCCGGCAGAGGGGTCGTTCGTGCCCGACAGGCGCACAAACACATCAGGGGGGTCTGCACCCAGCGGAACAGCGCAACACCTCATCAGCGCTGTCAAGATGTGCGGAGCTGGTTACGGGCAGGATCAGGGCGGCATGCAGCATGGAGCAGCCTACCAGAGGATGTTGAGCACGTCACTGCGGCAGCAGAGGAACACGAGCTTGCAGGGAAGGTTGCTGCGTTGTCGCACTCAAACAGGTCCCGGTCCCCAAGATCACAGTAGTTGTCTCTGTACAGTCTCAGCACCTCGGTAGCATCATTGGGCACGAGCCCAAAGGTGTCGGGAGGCTGCAGGACGGCGACGTCCCCGATGAGGCCCAGCCAGTGTTTCTGGCCCTCGTGGCAGCTTTGGCGATGGGCGGGCGATGAGGACTGCTGTCGCGTCCAAATTTCGCCAATCAGCTGGCGATGGCACATTGAGGATTGGCGAAATGCGGGGGAGCCACCCTTGCGCCTGGCACAGCGCAGCGGCCACATGCGGCGCCGCTGTTGCTTTGTCGGCACTTGCCTCCCTTTTGGGGGACTGGGGGCGAAGCCCCCAGCAAGCTGGCGCTTGTTTAACACTATGGAGTGAAGTTCCTGAGGAAAATTGGCCATTTCTCCTCAAAATATTGGCGATGTCAGTCATGGGGGCTGGCGACGCGCTGGCGATGTCGCCCCGCCGCCTGCCCTCATTTAGCCAGCCCTGGCTGGCGATGGCCTTCGGCCAATCGCCAGCCAGAGCCGTTTTTTGGCCCGATTTCGCCAGCATTTGGCGATTTCGCCAGCTTTCAGAAACACTGGGCCCAGCTGCTTGCACACCACAGCGGCGGCCCGTGGGCCAAAGTAGTCACCACAGGTGGTCAGGTATGAGCCATTGACCAGCACTTCGACACGGCCCTGGTGCGAGCTGGCCCCGTTCTCCATCAGGCGTACTCGAGGTGGAGGAGCGCAAATGCCCGTTGCTGCCAGCTGATTGGGGCCAGGAGCATAGGTGGAGCTGGTCTGCACAACATCATGAAGCAAGGTAGCTGTCATTCACAGAGTCGGCCTGGTGATGCAGCTTCCCCTCTCTGGCGCATGCGCGCATGCTCATGCAGGCGCCTGCAGGTCTCACAAAGAACGTGTAGTTCTGGCTGCTTTCATCCGTAATGCTGAACTCGCCACGTGTGCCGACAGCAGTCCTCCTGCAGAAAAGAGGTAGAGGGTGCCAGTGACCACGAAATAGCAACGAAACGGTAATGGAGTTTTGAGGTGCCCCAACTTCTCTTGTATGCTGTGGCGCTTAGGCGCAGCCATCCCAACAGCACGTCTTTTCCCCTCACCTCACACAGCGGCATGAACAGCATTCTGTGTCTGCAGTGCAGGATGTTGCCAGCTCTGCCCCGGAGCTTGCCGGCTCGCCTGCAGGGCAAATTTATAGGGAAGCAGGCACAGCTGGAAGTCTTGAGCAGAAACACGTGGGTGTGAGGTTGCCAAGATCTATAGCAAAGAGCACCGCATATCCTATGCTGTCTGCTCTGCAGGGGCTTGCACCTGGCAAAGTGATACTTCTGGCCGTGCAGGCGGCGCCTTGGGACGCGCATTCGGCGGAGCACCATGCAGGGCCATATGTGTAGCTCCACTGAGCAGAGCATTGGATTGTGTTGTTCTGGCAGAATTCAAGGCTGCTTTTGGCCACGTAACCAATACCCTGTGTTACAGTCACCCCGCTATGATAGGCCGCGTGAGCAGACCTTGGGCAGGGGGCACACGTGATCAAGGGGCATCAAGAGAGGGGGTGGACCATGGAGCACCCTCTCCATGGCTCCGACCACCCTCCCCCCAGCTGAGCGTCCCAGGGTCACCCCACCCTGGCCCCGCTCCCCGTCCTGCCGGACACGCAACCCCCACAACGTGGTGGGGGACGTGGGGATCCTTAGCAGCTTAGGCCTGCCAGGCCGACGGGTGCCGATGCTGGTGCGGGCTCCCGGCGGCAGGCAGCGCCGCCGCCGGGCACTCAAATGGCATGGGGCACATGGGCCCCCATGCCCGCACATCTCCCAGGCACATGAAAATACCAGAAGGCTGCACATGTAAGGGTGCAAAGTGGCCTGCCGCGGCGGTCGGCTGTGCCATTACTCAGTCAGCCGCCGCTACCGTGCCGGGCTTGGCGTTCCCATGCCAACATGCCGGCGTGCCATCGCGCAAGGGGCCAGTGAGTGTGTGAGGTGGAGGTGGGGGTGGTGGGGCTGCCGCTG